GGACCACAGGCAGAAGGAGAGGGATACAGAGAGGGTAGGGGACAGGAAGGAGGGAGAAGGCATGGACGTCACAGAGATCCTCACCTGAAGCTATGCAAATTGGTTCAGGGCATCTACCACAGTCCTGCCCTAAAGTCCTTCCAAGAAGCCCTAAGACAAATAGTCAGTCTGACATTGGGACCAACCCTGCCTCTCAACTCATCCTCATGGCTTCTCAGGCAGCAAGAGAAGGTGTGGGAGGAAGCTGTGTTGCCATGGCGTAAAGTCCCACCAGTCAGAAGCACTGCTTTGACCTCTGGGCTCCACCTGGCCTTGAACATGGCCAGATCTGAAGCCTCACCTGCCAGCCAGGCCCTACCAGATGTCATCCCCAGATTTCAGGCTGCCCAAGGCAGTGCTGCTTTCGTCCTGCACAGCGGTTCTCCTGAGAATGTTAGGGCAGATGTGCAAAGAGGGTTTCAGCTTGGAACTCAGGAACTGTGAAGAACAGACAGGAGCTGGTGGCCGCAGCACACTCAGGCAGCAGGAGCCAGGTAAGCTGGCTGCTCTGTCTTCTGTCACCTCTTCCTTCTCTACTTAGCTCAGAATGGGGCTGGGCACTCCAGATTCCGTTAAGGTGTGGGTGACAGAGGTGTGGCAGAGTGGAGGGATGGGAAGCTCTAAAAAGCCTGGATTGGGCACCAGAACGTTAAGGGCTGCTCAGGGCTGCCTTCCTTCTACTTCCAGGGAGACATGAGATTTCTGGTGCCTCAGATTGGGGTTTGCAATATGGGGTGGGGTAGGTTTACTAGGGGCATCTGCCTGACTCTGAAGCTCCCGTTCAGACGGCCTCCTCTTCTCCTCCTGCCCCCATTTCATTTCTTTTCTATTGCAGGCAAATTTTGGGAACTCAGAGCAAGCGCTGAAACCTCCAGCTACAACTCCAACACTTACTCACGAATGCACAACGTACCCTCCCCCTTCCCTAGAGGGCTGGGTCAGGGCTGTAACCTGAAGCTCTGAGCCCCCCAAGCCAGCCTCCACTTGATTCAAATGTCATCAGTACCTCGGACTAGCAAACCTCTGCCCCCATTTCCCCATGCAGAGCTAGCCAGGCTTGCGGAGCTGGTCCTCTCTGGGGACTGATCACATCAGCACTGTTCCAACTCTGGAAGGTTCACTGTGAGCCAATTCCTCTGGAGTATGTTAACCAGAGGAAAGGCAAACAACTCTGAGCTGTGAAGATGAGGCGAGGATGATGTCATAGTAGCTGTCATGAGCCGGGCTTGGCCATGCACTCCTCTGACCCGTACTTCCTTATGAACAATGACACCTACCTTTAGGGTAAGTCATTGGCACCCTAACTGGGTAGCAATCTGTGGGGGCAAAACAGAGCCTTCCTCTGTACAAAATGAACAGCTTGAATTGATGTTCCATGGTTTCACTTTTGCCTTTTTTCTCTCTTGGAGAGACTAATGGGCAGAAAAGATGGGGCAAAGTGAGGTCTCATTTTGACGGTGCCTTCCCTTATCCCAAGGCATGGAATGCATTACCATAAGATGCATCTTCTCGGGTTTGATTCCCAAGAGCCTAAAATCACATCTTTTGTATCTGTAAGGGATGTAGTGGGAAAGAGAAAGAAAACTAAGCTCAATTCTGAGCAAATTCAACTAGACATGCTGGCCAACCTCCATCACATAGAGTGGAGTTGAGTCCATCTGCTCCCTCATTGCCACCTCACCTCCCCATATCACCCTGTACCCCCCACCCTGCTCTTTGTTTTGAATAGGGTGGGGCAGAGACTCACTGAGAAATGGCCAGTTTTGCCGAGATTTTTCACATGCAAGAACAAATGACACTCTTAGAGACAGGTTCAAGAAAATCTTTCAGAATGCAGAAAATTCAGCAGCCTTTCCACACTGACCATTGTCATGGCAACACGCTATCTGATGGCAGCCTGCGTCACTAGGCTGAGGGGCACAGAATCAGTATAGCAGGTTAGCCTGGCCACTTTTAGCAACATTCGGACTTCTTTCTAGTCTCATTTCTTCTAGGTTGAGCTGATTTTCTTTTTGGTCCTGGACTCCTGCACTCTGCTAATTTGCATGGCTAGAATACAAGCCTTGGTTGATGTGAAAGGAGTAGCTAAGTGAAAAATCTAAACACTCCTAGTATTCTATTCCACCCTCCCTCCCTCCCTCCTAGTGAGATCGTTTCTCTCCTCCGTATTCATTCCCTCCTATCACAGCATTACCTCCCCCACCCAATGACGATGAGTCACCTGCCAACCCTTGTACTCCTACCATATTCCTTTTACTTTTTTCTATGTTCTCATCATACCACAGCATTCTAGAATTTTAGGGTTGGAAGGAACCAAACAATCATTTCGTCTAGTCATCCTCCCCCAAGGAAGGAGCCCCTCTAGAGTGTGAGAGCCAAGCAACTGTCTCACGTTTACTTGTGTATCTCTAGTGACAGAAACCCCGTTCTTTTATGGGCAGCCTGTTCCACTATGGAAAGCTCTAATTATCAGGAAATCTGTCTTTCTGTTGAACGAAAATCAGGTGGGTTTTTTTTTTTATTAAAATAATATCTATCCAAGGGTTCAGCTCTGCACCCTGTGGCAACATAGACCCTGCCCCCATCCTCTGCTCTGTGACAGCTTCTCAGAGATATGAAATAGAGATCATGTCCCCCCGAGTCTTCTCTTCTCCAGAAAGCCCAGCTCCTCCAACCAGACCTCTTGGAGCCTGGACTCCAGTCCTCTCCGCAGCACAACTGACCTCCCGCGACATGGTCCTATCTGTCTAGAGCCCTTTGAAAGTGAGGTCGATACTGCATCAGCATCTCTGGAGGCCACCTTGCCCCAGTGACTCATTCAGAGCTCTGTGTCAACTATGATCCTTAATTCTCTTTCAGACAAAACGCTGCTAAGCCACATTCTCTCATTTCACATGTGCCCAGTGGCTTTTGAGGGCCACCAGTTCCTGGTCCATACGTTTCTCCAACTATATATTAATTGTTTTATAATCAGAATGTTGTATTAACCTATTAGAATCTTTAAAATCTTGACTTCCATGGAACTTCCCTAGCCTCTAGGATCTGTTCATTTTTACCAACCCTATTACAGCCTTTTACCTCAAGCCTCCCTTCCATTTCTTCCTCTTTTACGTTTCTAACCTTTCCTCATTCTCCTCCCTTTGCATTATCTCATGTCTTTTCTTGCTTGTTATTTCCATTTCCTCAATAGTAAGATGTCACCACTCTCTAGAGCTATGTGCCTTGGGGACATGTGCAAGGAAGCAAGGGCACATAAATAGCTACACATCAGGCTACTTTTTTAAAATTTTTGGTGGTAGTGGGGTTTGAACTCAGGGCCTCACACTTGCTTGGCAAGGGCTCTTACCGCTTGAGCCACTTTGCCAGCCCTACATATCTGCACATGTGGAGGTGTGGGCAAGAGGCTGGCAGAGGCTTCAATAGTTTCTCCCTTTCTCTTGCTTTGTCTGTGCTCTATCATGATTTAGAGCATGGAGATGGAAAGGCTAAGAGAAATTGGTCCAGTATGAGTCCTGGCAGAAATAGGGTTGAGAGGAGCAGGGGAAACCAGGGTGGGAACACTAGTGTTCTCCCGGGCTGTGGCAGAGTAAGGAGGACTGGAGACAGGCCAGCCACAAAAGGAGTTTGAAAGCTTTAAAGACTGGACAGGGAGGAGGATTTGGTTAGGAAGTGAGGACTGTGGGGTTGGTAGCCATTGAGAGATGGAGGTAGCTCAAAACAATACCGGAGAAAGCTGAAGGCTATAGGATCTTGAAAAGGGCAGTAAGCAATGCTGTGAGTATAATCATAAGACTATGACTTATTAGCTTCGAAATTTTTCTCCAGCCAAGAACCACAAGACATGGAGTCCTTGCCTATAGGCTGTGCTGCCTCCATAGCCTGGGCTCTGTTAGTGGATCTGGGCTTTAACAGCATCCTCGGCAACGACTCTCAGGACATAGCACATCCTCCTTTCATGCTGGATTATGTTCCAACAAGGGAGTCAAAGGTAGGAGACCTGGTGCTATCTTGGTCATTTTACGAATAGATGGGATTTTCACTCTTTAGCACAGGAAATATGATACCTGTGCCTTCTTAACTCTGCAAATAATTAGGATCCAAAAAAAGCCTAATTATTTAGATTACACACGCACATACAAAATCAATTAAACAGGAAAATGGTTGCCCCAACTACTTAAAATAAGGAGATGGGAAGTGAGTTGTAAAGAAGCACCTGGGGCTTAAGACAGGGGCTCTACTGGAGAGCTGATGGCAGTGACCACAAACAGCTAGTGGGCAGTGCAATCAGGAAGGCAATGGCCCTTTCCCCTCTACCCTGAGGCCAGAACGATTCCAGGGCAGCTTCAAGAATGGAAGGAGGACAGGGGCGGCAGCTTCATCTTCTGAACTCTGGGCGAAACTGGAAAGTCCATTCCCAAGACATCAGAGTCCCTCATTGGAGTTCTGCAGTATCTCATGACTACTGGCCAGGGACTGTCCATACTAGAAAAGAATGTCTGTGAGCGCCTTTTCTACCCTGACCTCTTCAAGTCTAAATTGACGTCAACTTCCCACATCTTTGCAGTGTGGGGCTGGAACCAGGGCCTCACACAATGTAGGCAAACACTCTGCCACTGAGCCACACACTTATCCCTTAACCATGCATGGTTTTACGGTTGGCCTTTTGAAAGAAAAAGGATCTCAGGGCATATTTTAGAACTGATTTGCCCTTGGAGGCACCTAAAGCCGAACCTTTTGTTCTTCTGAAGGTGACATTAGCTGGCCAAACGACAATCTCAGCCAGAGTGGCCTGTGCAGGATTCCAGCTAAGCTGTCAGACCAAAAAAAAAAAGAGGTTTCCTTTCCAACTCAGTGAAATGATTAGCCACCAAAAGACAAATGGTATTTGAGGAAGCCCCCTGCGATGGGCCACCACAAACCGGGAGGAATCAGGAGGGCAGGGCTCAAGGGGTGGTGCTCACCTTTGATGTAGTTGAGGATTTGCTGGATTCGGTGGGGCTCATTGCGGTCTGGCCGGCAGCTTGGCGTGATTTCCAGCACATAATCAGGACCATATGCTGTGAAAAACTGTAAGAAAAGGGAAAGGCCAAAAAACAAACTAAACCACATAAAACTTCCAAACCAATCCACATACAAACAGGACAATCAAAAGAAACTCACCACTACCAACAAGGCCAGGGAAGCCTCGCTGGGCTGAGCAGCATCATGCAGCAGGAAGCCCTGCCCCAGTGGTCTCACTGTGCTCCTGCAGCCCTAGTGACACTCCCCTGCTAAATTCTTTGGCTTGCTGTTCAAGCGCCCCTCAGGTCTCAAGTTTTCTCTCCAGCCATAGCTCTTCTGCTCCCTTTTGTCTAGAATGGCAGACTGCTCTGTGCTCTCCCCAGGCATCCCTGCTCAGGTCTTCCCTTTTCTAAAGAGCCATTGCTCTTTCCCAGGGCCTGCAAAGGCCTGCCTCCAATCCCTGCTGCCTGCGGGAAAACCTCCCCATCCTTCCAGGCGCAGCTCAAATGTCACCTCCTTCACAAAGCTGTCCCTCATTCTCCGCCAAGCCCCAGACATTCTGTTGGTACCTCTCTTATGGCCCCTGTTCAGATAGGCAGAGTCTGCCTGCATATCACACACAGGTCACTGTGCCGGATGCAGTGAGGGCTGTAAGGATGGAGACGTCCTCTGCGGCCCCCCAGGTGTTCACAAGCACACTCTGCATTGGATGGACAATTTCCAACAGTGTCTGGATCTCCCCTTTCCCTACTGGGTCATCAGCAACCTGAAAGCAGGTAGCCCATTTCTTATTCATCTCCTGGGGCCTCACAGCTCATGGCAGCTGCCCATTGGCTTTGGGTGGCTTGAATTTCCTGCCCAAGGAATGGCAAACAAGTCTACTAGTTTCTTGACTTTAGCTTTTCTTTCTCTATAGCAGAGTTTATTTGTTTTTAAATTCAAGGAATCAAAATAAAGGTTTGTGGATTCTATTTCTAGCTCACTAGCTGCCTCCTTGTGACCTTTGGTAAGTCACAATATCTGATTCCCACTTGAGGAAAAACACTGTATGACAAAGGGAATCATTCAATTGGGCTAAATCTTTGAATGGGAAATATGCAAACCTACTATTTCTGTTTAGTTTTTAACAGAAATAGTATTTGTGCACACTCTCTGGAGAGAGAGCATATGGTCCTTAAAATTATGTGCTTTCAATGGTGATATTGTTAAGTGGTAAGAAGACCAGGGGATTTCAAATTCCACGAAAAAAATCGTACAGTGGACACGAAAACAGGGATCCTGCTATGTATCATGTCTTCAATGCTATAAAGAGCTCTTAGAAATAATCCAGGGTTACTGCCATTGTCACCAAATTATCCTTGTTAAGAGTCTGCATGTACATCTGGCACTGTGGGAGATGTTGGGGAAGAGTCTGCAGGGTTTCTCACAGTGTCTTTGTGGAATCCATGGGAGTCATTTGATGGGGAGACAGCTTTTGCATATCCATGACAGAAAAGTCTACACATTTAATTTAAGGGAGAATGCCCAGGATTGTGCAGGTGCTTCTAATGCTGCGTGTGTGTGTGTGTGTGTGTGTGTGTGTGTGTGTGTGTGTATGTGTGTATACTGACCTAGAAAGGTAGAAGGGCTTAGGTCCTTCATGCTGATGCCTGACACCCCAAATTCTGGAGATGGAAGAGGCCTTGAGTAGAGATCACCTTACCAAACCCATATATGGACAGACAAGAGGGGTTACCTGGGGAACACATCCAGAAACTAACCCCTCATCCTGGCCAAAGAAACTTGAGAGCCTTGTATTTTTAGTCAAGAGGGCCCCTTGCTCCAAGGCTGAGGACCTCGTGAGCTTGGCTCTGAAGAGAAGGCTTCAAACAGGTGTGGTGCCGTCTCCTTAGGTGGCCTCTCTTCTCCAACAGTGTCAAGTGCTACACTCATCTCATGGCTATATGAGGGCAGGAGAAGAAAAACAGCTGCAATGAAGCAGCCCTTCTGGGAGACCCAAACCCCGGGCATGCAAGTGCTATAAAAAAATCAGAGGCAGGGGGCCTAGCTGAGGTACAGGAGGAGGGAACATTCTGTCTCCACATGTGGATGACACTGCTGATCCTGGGTCAGCAAGGCATGTCGAGAGTCATTTGCCGGGGGCCGAGGGTTAGGGACATCATGTCCTCGCTTGTGAGTGCCTACTGTGTGGTTACCCACACTCTCCTACTTTCCTCCTCTTTGACCCAGAGTACAGGGTTGCTAACCACATGGTCAGTCGGGGTCAGAACTGACGGCCACGTGACAGAACTCAGCTCTACTAGGATTAAGCGCCTTGTCCTAGCTTCATTTGCACCTGGCTTTAACTATCTGAGTGACACAAAGTCATCAATAAAGCAGGCTGCCTGCAGGTAACAGCCAAGTCTGGACTCCCAAACTTCTCCCCACCTTCACCAATCAAATATTATTGTCAGGTGCTGCTTCTTTGCACTAGACTTGGGCTAGGGGACTCAAATGGTTGAAGAAATTCCCTGGGTTGAGAGCCAGTTCCACATGGCAGGTGGCTGGCCCCAGTCCTGAAGGCTCTGCTTAGGGCCAAGGGAAACCATAGACCTCAGAAGTCATAGGCTATATCTAAAAGAAAAGATGGTACCCTGTGTCTCCTCTCCAGCTCCCTCATGGCACTTCTGTTTCCCTGTTTTGTTTTTATTTTTGCACTTGCTAAATCCTCTTTCCTGGACTATGAACTGTGCAAAGGCAGAAACTTCTGTCATGTTCTCTGCCTACTCAAGTATCACAGTTTTTCCTTACATGTATGTTGAAATAAATTAATTCACCAAGAGGTTAGCTAGCTGCTCAGTTAATTGTGTGGAATAATTCAGAGTCACCTTCTAAACACGAACAGCTTTTCTAGGCTCTTGGTGGATCATGATGGGGTGGAAAGAGCACTGGCTTTGGAGTCAGGGAGAGCTGGAATTTGGCGCCTGGATTTAGCTGTGTGCCTCAGGTAAGCTTGTTAATCTTTGTTTCGTCATTTCCACCCGAGGGATGAGAAATGCTGACCTGGTTGGGCTGTTAAGAGCCAGCGAGATAATATCTATCAAAGGACCTAACTGAGGGCCCGGACATAGTAGGACTTTGATAAATGGGAATTTTCTTCTCCTGGGGCAAGAGGCCCTTGCCTAACCCTGTCTCCTCCATACCCTGAGGAACACTGGCGAAGCGCTTGGGGCTGAGATGTAGAAAGAAGAGCCTGTTCCTCCTGCCAGCCCAAGCCTAGCAGCCCCAGTGCCCCTCCTCACTTGCTTAAGCCATTAGCTTAGCCTGGGGCCTGTGAAGAAACTGACTTCTCTCATAGTTTCCGGTCCTGTGGTGCTGCCACTTGTTACTGACTGGCGAGGTGGAGAGGAAACATGATCACAGAAGAGGCAAAAGAGATGTCGGGGTGGAGGGATTTGGCCAGCACTTGAAATAGCTCAAGGCCCCACCCTGGAACTGCCCTCCAGCCCCCAAGAGGAAAGGAAATGGGCACACAGCAATCCCATCCCAGACAGGTGGGGCAGGGGATGAAAGGCACCAGCTGACCTTCATGCAAAAATGCTGGCTTTGATCTCAGCAGAGGAAGGAGGGAGGCGCTCACTCCTCTCCACCCCTTTCCCTTTCCCCTCAGCACTCCTTTGGCTTCCAGGGTTTCAACTGAAATATTTTGGCGGGGAACATGGAACTGGGGAGGGGGGCAAATGGAAGATCTGAGGTGGGACAGAGGGCTGGCTGGGTGTTGAAGGTAAGGGCAGTCTGTCTTTCCTTGACCCAAGAGTCAATGAATAAAGGAATGTAAACAGCTCAGCTCCAGTTTAGTTCAGCCCAACTTAATACTCCATTCTTGCTCAATCCTCTCCAGCCCTTGCTCACACAATGAACACAGCGTACAATGAGATCCTCGGTCAAAAGGATATCAGAAGAAGCGTTAAAGTTGCTGTTAGTCTTCGTAATCCTGTTTGGTCCTGGGAAACCGAGTCACAAACCTGAATCAACTGATCCTTTTATCCTCCCCTCAACATTTAGTAAGTACCTACTATGTGTCAGACTAGGTTAGCCATTGGGGCACAAGGACAATAAGACATGTTTAACAGGAGGGATTGTTACAGAGCAGTGCCACAAGAGCTATAATAACAATGTCAGAAATAAAAGTAATGTTAGCTATCACTAAAGTGTCTAAGCACTTTTTATGGATTGACTAACTTCATTCTCATGACCAACCTATATGGGTACGGACTATTATTGCTCCCACCTAATTAGATATAATTAGACGAGGCTAATGGGTAGGCCACAAAGCTAAGGCATGGGGGCAGAACATTGTTTTGTCCCCTTCTCTATTGCCACTTCCCAAAACAACATGAGCACCTAGCAGGCAGTCAAGAAATACTTGGGGGATAATGAGTCGAATCTTGGGGAAGATACAGGAAGCTTTCAAAGGAGGGAGTGAATGCCCAGCTGTGCACTGGGGAGGGCTCACTGGCTACCGTGTGGAGACAGTAGAATTTGAGGGGAGGAATGTGAGTAGGGACACCAGTTAGGAAGATGGTGCTACAGTCCTGAGGGGTGCTCACAGGGCCAGGACAGTTGTGAGAGAGAGACAAACTTCAAAGATGGCATCAACAGGACTATTACACAGTACATTGGAGGTGGGGAATAAGGTAGAGGGGAGAGCCAAGGATTTCTGGGTGTTGGGGAGGAGCACTAGGAGGATGAGGTCTGAGAGCAGAGTGCATGTGTGTGGGGAACACGCGCAGGGTCAGGATCCTGATGATGTAGTGGCCTGTGACAGAGGAATCCCAGTGCGGGAGAGAGGCTGGGGCTCTCACCACACATGTTGTAGATTTCAGAATTATCAACGACATAAAGTCAAAGAATCAGATGACACTGCCATGGCTGGCAGGGTGGGAGTCTGTTACAGAGCGAGGAGAGAAGAGAGGCAAGGAAAGGAAAGAATCATGGCAAATGGCAATACCACAGAGGTGGCCAAAGGGACCAGAAGTGGTTCTGATGCCAATTTGAAATCTCACAGAGAGGTTAAACAAGAGGAGGACTGAAAGAGTCTTCCCGGTGTCCATGGGAAGGGGACTGGCTACAGCAAAGCTAGTGGAGGATTTGGCCACTAACCGGAGGGGGCTGAGGAGTTGGACAGAAGCAGAGAAGAGAACGATGAGGATATACGTTTTTATAAGGAGTTTGATGTGGGGTGGGGCTGGAGTAGGGTGGGTAGTTTAAGATGGTGGGGGTGGGGGTGTTCTTCAGTATCTTTGTAGGCTAAGGGGAAAGAGCCTACAGGATGGAGGCAGGCACAGCCTGAGAGACTGAGTTAGTTATGTCTATCTGGCCCATTAGACAGAGATTCATAAGGGAAAAATGCTGGGTTTTGTTTGTTTGTTTGTTTTGCAGTACTGGGGTTTGAACTCGGCTTTGTGCTTGCTAGGCAGGTGCTCTACTGCTTGAGCCTCACCTCCAGCCTGTTTTTTTAAATATAAAACTATTTATTGACCACTGTTCACCATTAT